GTCTCGGAGTCCTGCATTTGGATCCACATTTCCACCTGCCCGCACACAGAGCCCTGACATTTCCATTTAAACTCAAAAAGGTCCAGCCTGATGAAGAAGTCTACACTTGTTTAAATACATTTTGACTTCTTAACCTGGAACACTTCACCTGCTACCAAGGACACTAGTGACACCTGAGTGACAAGGTGCCCACTGGTGACTCCCTTAAGAACAAGAAGCATGAATATCAATGTTGTCCTCGCTGGCCTCACTGCCCTTGCTGAACAGAGGAACCTGTGAAAAGGACGTAGCAAAAGCTATGCCATTTTATAACATAGCAGCACAACGTGGGACTTCATAACACCCACTGAGACTCTGCATGCTGCATAAATGTTTACCATACCACCACTGTACGTGTTAAGAACCAGGTGCCTTGCCTTTTGAGCTCCACTCAACATGCTCTCTCCCTCTCCCGTGCCAAAGCCAGTGAAAGCTTTTTGGGCTTAGTGCCTATCAATGCCACAGTGAGGCCATTATGCTCCTGCTTGAACATCAGGCTCGATAGGAGTGACGCTAATCTACAGGGATCCATTACAAACTAACAGGAATTACAGCATAATGGTGATAATGATGGTTTTGTTTATGTTTGATACACTGGCAGACATCAGGAGCTTGGTAAGTTGTTCTGGATAAAACTGCATTACAGCTGTAGTCAACAATAATGTTCCTGAACATGTGTTTCGACTTCATTGCTTGTCATCACTTAATAATATGACAATAATAAGTGAACCTACAGCTACATCCCACGATGCTTCTCTAATGGCTGTTTTAGACACGCTGGTCCTTCTGTGTTCTGTGAAGTCCAGAATGTGTATATATACACACACACACACTACCTTTAGGCAATATAGACAATAGAGCATCCAAGAAAATTAATTTATCAGCAGATCATCTCTAGGAAATGAAAACTGAATCAACAGGGCTGAAACATCCAGTAATATTTCAACGAACCATGTAGGGCTGTATTTTAAATCAATATTTTTTATACTTTTTTCCAACATTTTTTTCCCCTGTACTCTCAGGAAAAAAAGGTTCAACATAATTTTTGAGTTCATGGTGATGTGAGTGTACAATATTTTTTTTTTTAAAATCATATATGACGGCAAATCTTCCAATGTGAGATGAGGTCTTTTGACTTTGAAAGAAATCCACTGTATAATCCTGGTTCATTTCAGTTTAATCACTCTAAAGAAACAAACAAAAAACTGAGTGTGTAGAACTGTTCCAGCTCTCATAGAGCAAAAGGAAGGTTACACTCTGGAAAGGCTTTCTCGGGGCGAACACAGAGAAACTGACAATTCAATGTCTTTGGATTGTGAGAAGAGGCTGGAGTACCCAGAGACAACTGGATTCAAGCAGTGAACCTTTCTTGCTGTAAGGTCACAGGTCACTGTGCCACCCCAATGTGCAGTATAATTTGTTAATTTCTTTCAGAAATGCGCTCATCCTTTTACATGCTTTAATGCATG